AAGAAGCCGAGAAGAAGCGGAATCATTCAATTTTCCCATTCTTGAAAGTATGTTAATCATGATAAAAATTTCACTAAAATACGAAAGGCAGTCTAAACAATCATACAATTGCTCTGTGGAGCGAAAATATGCGTAACTATGAATGAAAGCACTGAACTATATTTTAACACTGTCTCCATGTTTAGTCTCAATTAAATGACGCATATGCATGCACATCATTAATGTTACTTGTTGATTCGCCCAACGTATGTTTAACTTCGATAGTCAACCAGTAGCGTGCGTACGGGGAGTGTTCGCCTCCGTTGAAGTGGAGCCCTGGACAGGCCTACGCACTCAACTACTGAGTCATTGACAAACATTGTATTAGTGAATGACAAACGCGCTTTGGTGAACGTTATGAGAACTAAGATAAGTATATTTTTTGAAAAAATGTGAATAAGCCCCCCCCCCCCCCCCCAAAAAAAAAAAAACGCGACAAGTGACTGGAACGTTATGCAGTTGACTCGGCTAAAAGAAAAGAAAAACATAATCTACGCGGCACTGGCAACTTGCTATGGAGTCTTAATCATGTCCTGCTTAGAATGCTAGGTGTAGCCAGCAGTTTTACCTTTCTTGTAGTCTCTCCCCCCTCTCTCGCTCTTAATCAGACTCTGATTAAAAGCGTACACGAGCGACGTTGTGATGAATGTACTGAATGCTTTTCAGCTCTTGCATCGTTTCTTATACCTGGACTTTCTGCATATTTTTTTCAGTGAAGCATTAAACGATTTAAAACTTTCAAATTAAAAAAAAAACGCTGTTGCCCTCTTGGAAGCGATGAAAGAAATAGAGTGCTATTTTATTTTGCCCAAAGAGCAATAGATGGCAATAAAAAGTTTGCGTATAAACATGCGGCGACAGGAAGGGTTTAATGTGGATGGCCGGCTCAGCTGCTGAAATCAGAGGATATTTTTGCTTCTGTAGCTCCATAACAAGATTCACTTAAACTCTGAGTATTTGCTGTTGTTGAGAAATTCCGTTGTTCTTAGGTTTAGCTGCTTGATAAATATTGTTTCATTGTGGTTTCTGCGGGAGAGCCTCAGTTTCCACCAATTTAAGCAAGATTTTCACTACTTCTTATAAAAATCTGGTGACCTTTTTCTGTATATGCATTTATCAGTGAGAGCGCAAAGGATGTAACTTTCCTTACTATGATATCATTTATAGTGTGTAAGCAAGTGGAATTCAGGTTTTAATAAACACTGAACGATAATGTCGCAACCGAATGGAATAGTGTCTGAGTGCTCCACTCACCGTTTGCAAAGTGTGCTTGGAATCGGAGTGACCGAAAAGGTGAAGGAGATCGAAGAGCTATACTTTCGTCGGATAGCACAGCGAATACCAGGAAGACCGCGACGACGCTGGGTCCGTTCGCCATTTCAGAATCTCAGGGTTTTCCCCTTATTATTCGCGTTAATGACAAAGACACTCCATGCCGTTATATATATAGAAAACTGTAAGCGTTCAAAAGTGTGCTAGTCGGTGATAAAAGGCTCGTCACACTCTAGAGCTGTGACCGCGGCCTTCGCACGAGGTGAATCAACTGAGCGCTTGTTGTGTGCGCCATTTATCATCGCACCGTGATCGGCGATGGTGGCTCGCACTGTTTTCCTATGTGCTTCGACGACACGTCCATATTTCGTTGTGGAAATATAGCCCAACGTAGATATATATCCCATCGAGTGTGCAAATGAGCTCAACGATGTGGCTGGCAGTTCAAAGCGATGGTGATGTGACACCTGGTCAAGAGTGCGTGTCTAGTGCTGGGGCGCCAGAACTTTCGCGCTCAAAAAGTGCGCAGCTGCAGTGAGAAAACCGTCACTCGGCCTTTCGTCGAGGAGAGCTAGAGCGCACCGTTGCTTTAGCTCGCATTGGGTGATCTAGCTTACAAATGGACGCTGATACTCGGTCCTATAATTTGGGAGTTCAACAGCCACTCTCGTAACCCCTGTGTTCGACATCTTCTATAGGATGGGGGACCTGCTCAGATCGGCTCTACGGCAGCGCGTAACCCGACATTCTTTGGTACATGTAGTTACCGCAAATGTCGCGAACGGACGCCAATACTTACCTCCATAGCAGCCGACGTGACAACTTAATATAGTTGAAACGCCCCGGAACGGCGATCGCCTCGCGAGCGAGTACAGGGTGCTATGGCTGGTGTTTACCCCCTCCTCTCTTTAGGTACTTTCATAATGATATCAGAAATAATTCCTTGTTCCACTAATGCAACTAGGCGAAGCAACAAATCTGAGGTAGATACACAGAATGGATCCGATTACCTTGGTGTGAGTGTGTGAGTGATATAAATGAAAAGAAGAGAAAAGTGAGCCCCGTAACTGTAATTCAGGGGGAGGATACCTCAACAGTAGCTCACGAGGGGGGGAGGGGTAAAGGAGGGATTAAAAGGATAGGAGTAAAATGTAAAGGGATAGAGAGGAAGGAGAGAGCGAGGCGCAGGGACAGCGAATGGCAAAAAAAAAAAAAAACGATGGAAGTAAGGAGGAGATAGGAAAGATGGTTAGCCTTCAAGACCCGGCAAAAAATTATTTGTATCCAGATATTCGTAACCAGAATTTGTAAACAAATTGCTGTGCACATCAAGATTTGACTCACTCTTGGTGTGCAGAGCAATTTTGTTTGCGTACCGTAAGAAATAGTTTCTCCTGTACCTCTGCGTAAATACCCATTCCCGATTTCACCATTGTGACGGATTTACCAATATGAAACAGCTATGCGTGATGATGCTTGGCTTTACAAAAGCTAGAGATCATGAATACATCTGGTTACAAATCAATTGGTTGCCGAGTCTTGAAGGCTATAATAAAGGCAGAAGAGTAAAGGACTTAATAAATATATCTGTCGCTCGCGGGATCAGAGGCCACTGTGCGTACTGCTACAGCTTCGTGAAGGACATTTATTTAGAATTCTCATACATCTTTTCATAGAAGTATCTCTGTGTTGCCGCCATAATCCCCTCAGGGCTGATGAAGATATGCGTGTCACCCCGCAACATGTTCTCCGAGGTCTCGAAATCAGCGTGCCACGCTTCGCAAAGCAGGTGTTCTCTCTGTCTGTCGAAAAGACTCATAACGCTGCTTGAAAATTCCTCGGGCATTCCCAGGAACTGGTGAAATCTGCACGTGGTGCCATTTCTCGGTGGCAGGATTGGCAGCCTGCTGTAACTGAAGGGGAAATAGACGAGCAAAGTCATATCTCTTGAAAACATCTATTTGTAAAAAACGACTCCGGGTTTATTGTAGCAGACACCCACTGGTATATTTTGGTAAAATTGCAATATCACACTGCAAAGCGTGTGACTTCCCAGGACTATTGAACACCGCCTGTAGAAACACATGTGATCCAATTGTTAAACACTCTGGGAAGGCACGCGGGTTTTAGTGTGACACTGTAACTTTGCCAGACTATTCAAATAAATCTTTGCTGAGTAGAACCAGGAATCATTTTTGATAACTAGCGTATTTCGTGAGATATGTTCTTTTTGTTTATTTGCCATTCAGTTACGACAGGTTACCGCTTTGGCCGACGAGAGATTGCGCTACGTACAGATGTCCCCAAATCCTGGTCATGGGAACCAGAACTGCGCAGAGTTTTTAAGTTATCCTTTGATTCCATAAAGTTGTCCGTTCATCAAATGTCAATGAAAAAAAAAGGCGAGCTTGCACTATAAGCGTAGCTAGGCTTGAAACAGTGAAACTGGACGATTCTGAAGACTAGTGTGATTCCTTCTAGATTGTTTATATAGGCCTTAGGTCACGCATATTGTTCCTAGGTTGTTTGAAAGTCCTTACTAGTCTCGAACTAGGTAATATTAGGCTGCCTCTACGTTGATTTTCAGCGCAGAGAGGTCCGAGTTAAAGCACAGACAGTCGCAGACAGGATACTGATGTCCAAACTCCATGGACAGGAAGTCACGCTGAAACGAAATGGTCGCACCTCTGTACGGGCATGCATGTCGTAGTTGGCGTGCGCCCTATACGAGTCTTCGGGGTCTTCTCATAGCCCCAATTGCCTCGTTGCCGCCATCGCCATTGCTATCGTCGTCCAGCGTAACGTACTCGGAGTCTTCGGTTCACAGCGCGGTCACTTCGCAGCAATTTGTTGGGCTAATTGTTGCCTTTTTCACATTTGGTAGACCAGTGTGAGTATATAGTCAGATCTTCCCAATTTCAGCGGCGCACGCCCGTTTGTGACCATGATAGTATTTTGACAAAGGAGGAGGAAGAAGGAAGGGAAAACACAGGTAGGTTAGATTTTTTTTGACAAGCCACACCCATAAATTACGGCTAGCTAAAGAACCTCGCTTTTAATTAAGGGCGTGCTAGCAAGAGAGACACAACTACTATACTACGGATAAAGATGTAGGTTAGCCTCCTGTCATGCTTGCCAGAGAGAGAGAGAGAGAGAGAGAGAGAGAGATGTTTATTTACAGAAAGACAGAGAGCTCAGCCTGAGTGATAGCATGCTCTAGCCCACTACTCTACACCGGGGAAGGGCAAAGGAAAGAAAAAGTATAATTGATGACGATGGTGAGATAGAGAGGAGAGTGTATAGAAACCTTCCCAACAGAGAAAATGTTATGGCAGTGCATTTGGTAAACTTCCTTCGAAAAAAAGGCTATAACCGCTCTTATGGCCACAGTTGCACTGATGGTGTCCGGCCAAGGGCCCAGCATGGTCTCATAATGGCTTACTGCAAAATCATTCAGTAGAAGAAATCAGTGTAAGTCGGTCACGTGCCCATGTTGGGCAATCATAAAATATGCGCTCAGGTGTTTCTGGCACATAGGAGTGTTCACGCTTACCAAATAATACATGCACGCAAGTAAGTGGCACTCTATATGTGAACCTATTAAATATTAACCTAGAGTATTTTGCCAGGGCAATGCTCTAGTACATGGGCGAAACGAAAATTGCGTCTACTATAAATAACTCGGTGAGAACGTATGCTTAGCCAGTCATTTATTTGTTGTTTTGGTAAGTACGAAGCACGGATTACGAAGACATGAAAGCTAATATTTGGAGCTTGCATAGTTATAGCAAATTAGATTCGGCTTGCAGCATTGTGACTCCAAAAGGCCATCCTCATAAAAGCATCCTCTTCCAGCAGGCGGAAGCATGCATTCCTTCATCCTGAAAGAGAAAAGAAAATGAGGTCATAAGGAACAAAATTGCATTTTAGGGATTGTCCTTGACATCCTGAGCATTGACGTGATGGGTTTGGCAAAACCTGCAACCTGACATCTTTTATGTGTTAAAATCTATATTCCGAATATGTACCCGCACAGATATTTCGCTTAGGCGTCCACTGTGCAGACTTTGCATCTGTTAGTAAGTTTGTAGCAAATCCTAAAGCTTGCATACTTGTTGGAATCTTCTTTAGCGCTTACTTTTACAGCAGAAGGGTTCTTTTTTTTTGCAGTATAATCTTTCATATTTAAAAGAAAATTAAACATTAAGGTCCGATTGTCTGCGTCGTAGCTCTGTTTGTCAAGTTATTACTTGTCAATTTATAGTTGTATTACCCTTAGTATGTTATGTATCACTAAGTATTACAATTAGTTTATATACGGGTAATACAGTCATCAATTTCCACTAAATATGGCCTTTTTCGCTGTGTTACTATTAATGCCCGATTGTTTCATGGTCAAATCGACTTCAGTATAATTATTATTCTGTGTGAGTACTTTTTAGAAATATATCGTACGTCATAAGCTTCGTGATTGTATCTTGCATTGCGGATAAACTGTTTCGTAATCCAACAAAAGCACTTGAGGTTTGCGTTTTACAAGAAGGCAGCGATTCGAAGCTTATGCCACGTCGTTCTTACGGGATGAAATGCAGCAGGCGTTCCCTGGGCTTGCAACGGGCTTGCACGCATTTTCCGTCTGCCAGGGTAATGTAAGCTTCCCACACAGATCTGCCGCGGTATATGCACCTACCTGAGCAAACAGACGGCAATGAAAAAGAAAGTAAAAACCGGAATGACTCTGAGTGTCTGCTGCTTTGCAATTAGAGTTGATCAGGTATTTTCTCTTTCATTCTTGCAACCTTTCGGTGACACATTATTTCCCGATGAACGCGAGCTTCATTACGTTATATACGCGTGCACGTTTTACAGTTTTCAAAACTGCGGCTGAATTTAATACACTAAAAGTGGCGCCTACAAATAACGATCAAATAAGATAGATATAGTCATTTCTTTGATACCCTATTTAGGTTGTAAGCCATTGCTTTTGCTGTGCCCTTTTAACATTCGTTCACTTTTGGTGCCATTTGTACGGTAGACAAGTCAACTCAAAGTGAAGTTAGTTTGAAATCAGTAGGCGATATGACCACCCCCACATACTGAACGGGGCTAAAAAAAAAAAAGACGGCGGTCTATCCCGTATTAGAGGTGCATGTGAGCTTGAAATGCTATTGGGCAAAGCAAAGTGGTTGGAAATGATATTTGTCACAATAATAAAATGGGTATAGTGGATGTCCGCAAGAGCACACCCCGCCCAACCACACCATACCACACCTCACCACACCCATATGGGTCCCACTTTTTTGTCTGCCTGTGCGCTATGAATATTGGCCTTTGGGTAGTCAGCTGTGCGGAAGTGCCATAGGCTGCTGACCCGAAAAGCGAGGGTTCGTTCCCAGCCATGACAGTCATATTTCAAAAAAGGCGCAATGTTAGAAGTCCTTGTGCTGTGCTATGTCGGCGCGTTAAAGAAGACCAGACGGTCTGAATTTCCGGAGCCCTTCACTATGGCGGGCCTAGTAATATTACCGTGGTTTCGGCAGGCAAAACTCCGAATACTAATATGATCACTCTGCACCAAAACTTCCGCCTCGTGCTTCTATCTCTCGCATTTTAGCGAAGTCAATAATGGGAAGATATATATCACAAACCGAACTCACCGTTCCGGACAGACACTTTTACGGGGCCACTGGGCGGTGTAATAGCTCCAGCTAGCGTGACTACAGCGCCGAATACAAGAAGCAGCACGGCCCTGACGCAGCGTCGACGAATTAGCATGGCTCGTGCTGCGCTTGTGGCGGATTCCCTGTACTGGCTTAGCCGGCTTTGAATGCGGGAGGCCAGAGACTATATTATATGCGCGTCTGGACCGCCAAGCCTCCGGCGCTGTCTGGGGAGAAGGAAGCAGCGAGCGACGGCTGCCGCTTCTGCCTGGCGCTGTCCGAACTCTTGAAGTTTCACGAACGGCCTCGTATTTCTTTCGGTCGTGAATGAACTACATCCTTTTTGCTAGCAGCGTGTCTCTAAGGACTACGTCGCGTCAACTTCAAAAGAAGCGCCGTTAACAGGGATGTCTTTCGCAACTATTTCTTTCTATTGAATACTTGTGTTTTGTCCCTGTCGTCTGCACTGCCTGCGCTGACGTCTGAAGCCTCGCTTTCGTCATTTTTCTTTGTTATATTTGGTGTTAGAAACTAGCGAGCTGGACTACACCAAGCGTAACGTTGTGCAAGACTCAGACAATTCTTCTAAGACGTCACTCCCTAGGGCTTATGCGTCATTTGAGCTTTGGTAGGTGTTTTTTTTTTCTGCTTGTAGAAGGCGATTGATAATAATGGGATCGTGTTGAAGGTTTTGAAATTGGGGTAAGAAAAAGCGCCCAAGGGTTGTTAATTCTAAATTCATTACTGGTGTGGCTTATGCGGTCGACAAAAGAAGACGAATTATCAAATCCTATTGGAGAAGCCTCGCGAAGACTAGCCTATATACAGTCTATAGTCAGTACAAACAGCAGCAAGCATGGCAAAGAATTAGTGAATAGGAAGCAATACAAGTGAAGTAAAACATCTTATTTGTGGATGTACTACTAGTATGGAGAAGCGCAAGAGGGCCGATTGGTATAGCATGGAGGGGAGGAGAAAGAAGGTGGGGCGGGGGCTTAAGCTTTTGCACATTTGTGAAATAAATTTTCTAATATACTATTGGTGCTCTCCACGAGTAAACCTGCAAAAGCATGAATTAGCATTGCAGACCGATATCACTTTTTAATTAGCAGTAGTGTGTGTGTCTTTCTCGCAAAAAGCTCTGATGTAGCATGTATGTGTATAACGTGGGGTTGATTCGTGAAAACAACTGAGGGTAGCTCTCATACCTTCACGCGCAAGAAAACAACGAGAATTTCCGCGCGTAAAATAATCCTGCATTCATACTTACTAAGATGCTTGAACTTAAGAGCCCCGAAACGAATGGCGGAACGATACATGTTGTGCATACCGCTAAGAGGCAGGAGGCGAGCTGAATAGTAGAGAGAACAAACCGGGGTAGCCAACGCTTTATCTGGCGTTAGGAAGACAAAGTGTAGCTGCATAGGTCACGCACCATATTTACTGAATTGTAACAAGAGTATTGGATTGTCATAACGTCCAGGAAGAGAAAAATTGAATTTTCTTATATGATTGTGGCCCGATAGGCAACGTTAGATTGCCGAAGTCGAAAAAAAAAAAAAACTCGTATTCCATTCGAACAGGAGCGTGGGCGATTTTTTTTTTTTGGGGGGGGGGGGGGGGGGGTAGAGGAGAGGGCATGCTTTTGATCCGATGTCGTGTCCATGGAGGTAAGTACGGTCGACTGTCATTTCATGCTCTGGATCTAATGGAAGCAGCCATTTCGTGGGGGGAGGAGGGAGGCACCGGTTCGGTGTGCCACCCCCTGGATACGGCACTGCATTCAAGTAAATACGGTAATGTGAAGGGCATCTAACCATTGATGAGTTCGATCTACAGAATGATTAGAGGGATATAGAAGAAGACCATGGAGGTTTTGCTGGGGATGCAACATCAGAACGTTCGAAGGAATAAAGTAAAGCTATTTCCCATTGAATGGGGTAAATCAGAGATGATTTTCAGATGTCTTTGTCTTGCCGTGAACAAAAAATTAGTTGAAAGCGACAATGATAAGGATTAGGAGGAACTGGAGACCAACGATAACACTTGTAATAAAGGAAAAGTATATAAATTCGGGTGCTTCTTAAGAGCTTTTGTTTGAATAAGTTTAGTTTATTCCTTTTATGAACGTCGCTCCCCACCATAAGAATAGAAGATTATTAGGAGAGCAAAATTTTATGTGATAGTTTTTACACTGTCCCTCGCTCGAGAGTCTGAAAGACAATTATATAAGACTCCCACCCTCATTCTTTCTGACCATTTGCGTAGCAGTAAACACCGACATTTGATAGTCATCGTCATTTAATTTCCTAAATATAAATATATGACATTTTTCACCGTCCACAGGAACTTGCGCGAAACATTTTTTAACAAATATCTTCATCCATAACAGGAGTTGAACCAACGCTGTTTTAATTTACAAGGCACACATACAATAAGTCTTATAAAACAAAATTATTTCAGCCATTTTCATCTCGAAGTATCGCTGGGCCAGGTTTGCCAGTGGTGGCTTTTTTCGTCAAATCGGCTAATTTGAGATGCCCATGGCGACCTAAAATTTTGCATGGCGACATGGTGCATTTTTTGGCAATTTTTGGCTTAGATCTCGACTGATTTGTGCGTTCTTTGCTCAGTGTCTTCAAAACGAATGGCCGATAACATTTTTTCTATCTTTCGTAGTTTTAGACTTACCAGTCGAAGGCGCACTTTACGTACGATTCAGTACGTCTGCCCTGTTTCTCGCGTGTATCTCCTCAGTTAACCTATCATGCAGGCACTGGTGCACTAACTAGTGCGTCCGCCGGCAACTTCCTAGCAAATTTAGGTCGTGTGCGGCGAGGTGGTGGCGTTATACTGAGTTTTCTGGTCGCTTTAAGAACTTTAAGCTTATTCAATGCTGCGCTTCTGAAGTGGCTATAGGTGACGGTTAGGCCAAGTGCTTCAACCACACGTCCACCTTGCCGACTTCTTCATTGCTTTAGTACCGCCTCATTCATCATGTAGAGTTTATATTTTTAATTAAGATACTTCTTGGGCCGGCCAAGAAGTTGGCATCTTTGGGCAACCATCACAAACTGCACTAGGGCGAACGTGTAGCGTAAGCATGACCGCACAGAAAGCGTGGCGCGGGCATTACTATACGGTTAAGCAGTATTTCCAAATTTATTTCCGTTGTTTCGTAATTAAGTTTTTCAATTATCGGGCACACAATTTCACTGCAGTGGAATTCTCTAAATCTGCAAAAAAAACTACGCACACCGTCTCTCTCTTTTTGTAGCGACGGCTTCACACTGAAACCATCACACATTTTGTTACGAGGAGCTAGCATTTAGGAACGCTGCTGGTGCATGCATGTTCTTTTTCAGTGCTCAAATGGTGAAGCGGGTGATGTGACTGGCATTGAGAAACGACAATAATTATTTGGGAGTTGTGGATGGTAATTAGCAATTTTATTACTAGGTACGACACACGTATGTAAAATGGCGACTTTCTAGTAAAATTTGAATAAAAATGGCAAATTTTGGCGATCGCTCATCATTTGGCGAATTTAAGTCGCAAGTCAATGGCAAGGCTGCAGTGGGCGTTGCCAAGCGTTACTATTAGTATTATATGGATGACATGATAAGACACCAAAAAGCCTTCTATTAAGGCGTCACTCACAATCATATATTGCGGTTTCGGGAGGTTAAACCGCAGACAAAAGAATATGTATATATCTTAGAAAGCCCTTTTAAAAATCTGGCTGTTTTAACCAGACCCTCCTAATAATGTCAAGACAGCTGCGGGGCTCAATTTTTATATAGTAATTAAGTTTCTAACACGTATAACGTTACATCTATGTATTCGACCAAGCAGGTTTGAATCTTTATTCGCTTCACATCCTCTTTAACGAAGTCTATTCCTTAGAAGAGCATAAACCTCTACAGTAAATAATAAACTGTCCAGATGAATGCTTGTATGCAAGGGCTGCTTGGAAAGGACTCGTATTAAGAATATTACTCACCATTTAGAACGTGCACATGCTTCGCTCTTAGCGACCGCAGCGACGAGGCGACATCGGACAGCAGGGCACAGACTAGCAGGGTGGCGAATACTCGACCGGTATCGAACATCTCGCGACGGATGTGTGCCTTGATCACCAGCGAAGAAACAAGACCTTGTATCCGGCCGGTGTACACACGCGTGCTATAAGGAACCGATTATGACCGGATATATATCACACGAGCGGCAGCCGCAACAGTATATATATCTTCTGCATTGGCTGCGGCGTTTATATCGGAGGCGAAGGCCTGAAGGCGCCCACATTCACCCCACTGCATGCTCCACTCACGGCGCTACGGTTGCTTCGCTTTTGCCGAAGTACAAGCGTTGACAAAGGCTTCGCGTTCGGGACAATAAGCCACGCGGTAGGGGACTTAGGTGAACGCGTTTCATTGTCTTGTGCGAACACAGCCGGAGAAACTGGTCAGTACTCGGGGCTTCTCAGCAATGACAACCCCGTACGGCTGCACGAACCTTGCGAGTTCCGCACGTGCGTGAAGGTAGGAGCACGAATGAACTCGCCACTAACAAGTACCAGCATATTTATACGCTCCCATCACAGGAACAGGGCGTCTCGCTCGCTCATTTTCATCTATTGAGCCACCTGAATGGGAGTGGCAGCTTGGCTGCTATCTTTTTCTTTCGTATTCTTACATATCCTGCTGCGCCTTGTTCCTGATGAGGGAGCCTTAATTGACGGGAAAAAATAATGAAGTCACAATATGTTCGGTTGCCTAACCTACGCGTTCGGCGCTGTCGCGCGTGGCAGTCCTGCTCTGAACTAATAATGGTGACTCAATCGCCTTGTCGATTGAACGCATATTTAAAGACGAATACAGAAAGGAACCTTTTTCGGGTTGCCCTAAACTTTTTCGGAGAGCGAGTTGTTTTGAGTTGTCGGCGAATTTTTTTTTTACGTGTGTAGGTGCTTGAAGTTTATAGAGCTCACTTTTTCTCTGATATGTATAGCGCGAGTGCTAATTGCGGCGAACTAAACGAGTGTAGCCAGGTGCGATTGATTGTCAGCTTGTAAATGTCTCGATTGAATGTTATGGCTCCCTTCGTAACACGTGTTGCTATTGCGAACGAGTTGTTTAAAAGTAGTAGGCATGGTCAATAGGCAAAACAACGAAACTACTGGTGGTCGTGCCAGGATAGAACTTAATACTTCAGGGAGGCAATGTGGATGCGATGACACTGACAGATTCACGTCGGCTGAACACGAAGGAAGATATCATGATTTTGACA